TATTTATTTGTCAACATTTTGCTTTCAACTACCATTTATTGCATACCACGATGTGGTCCTTTACTAGATATCTAGTGTACCACTTAAGGTTGATTTAAAACTACTGGAACAACTTTCCAGAAGGCTAAATACACAGCTTGTTTTAGGAAGGTGCAAGCACTCTCTACTCCATAAATACACAGGAATTACTCTATGCTAGTAGGCAAATTTTATCTATGAAAGAAGGAATTTATATATTAAAATTGTCTTTGAAATTTTACAGCACAGCACAATCAATAAGTCAACCAAGAAAGCCTGAGGTCTCATTTCATTTTCAAAGCAGACCAAACAGCCTCTTGATAATGATGATGCTGATGATTCCTTGACTTAAAGGAAAGTTCCTGTGAAAAGTGAAATGTCTCAACTTGCAGGGTAGACATGCTTGGAGTTTATCCAATGAGTAGTCAGATTTGGCTTCTTCCAGCTTGCTATGACTTAAGCTGATTCTCTTCCATAGTTACCCAGACTGGGAGGTGGATATAGCTCCACAATATTGATTTACAGTAAATGCCATAGTCAGTCAGAACCTGTCTAGGATGCCCAAGAATTTAAACACAACCTTTGTCTACGTCATGAGCATATTATAAATCTTACTGGTCCAAGTGAGTCTGAAGCCAGGGCCTTTTCCTTGAACTCGAAGCTTTCCAAGTATTGAGGAAAGGAAGTATTGACTTTCACAGAGGGAAAGGCAAACACAACTCAAGTCCTAAATACAGTAGTCTTGGACATATTTAGAGAATAGATTCCATTGCCAGGACAGGACTATTTTCAGCTAGTAATTTAAGAACAGTTTAAAAGGACTAAAAAATCATAGTGAAGTTTGTTTTACAAAAGACAAAGCTCAGCTGATGTCCATGTTGCTCTTGAGCCAAAGTCAATCTCAACATACAGAGCGTATACTTCCTTACTATCCACAGCACGATTCAGATCTACTGGGGGTGAACTGTAATCATCCTAAACTGGAATTGAAGACATATGGCTCTCTTAATTTTCCTTAATGGATCTTGCCTTGCTTTTAAAACTTTATTTCCTATAGTGGGCCTGCTGATCAAAAGTACCTGTTTTGGCAATTAAAATTTTAGATGACAGTGTTCTAGAGATATGTACCCACAATGGGGACGTGGTTAACACGACTGAAACGTGCTTTTAAAAGTGGGTAAATGGTAAACTGTATGCTATTGATTTTACCACAATTAGAGACAAATGAGAGGTTTCGAGGGGTTGTCTGTTGGTCTCTGAGAGCCTTTCGCACACCAAATGCTTCTTTCTTCACCTTATTCTGCTTTTCTAAATGAATTTGAAGCAGAGAGGCTCACTCAGCTTTATGGCATTGCACAAGGGTTATTTGGCTCTACAGGGCTTTTACTATGCAAGATGGTTTGTTTTACTTGGAATCAACACATTATCCTCTCCTTCTGATGTAAGTTCTTTAATTTAGCAGGGCTCCCTGGGGGTTGAGTGTCCTATATTGGCAGTGACTCCTATTGCTAATTTCATGATTTTGGGAAGCACCGTGCTGGCACCTAATGCTGATGGCCATACCATTGCCTCCACCTGTGATGTCCTCATACTCCATCCCAAAACCTAGCAACCAATCCAGCAGCCCATTCAGTAAACCGTAGTCCCTCAGAGACCTGGCATTTCTTGGATATTTTCTTACGAGAAACCATCTGGGAAGTTCAGGATTCAGTGTGCATGCCCTTGGTCTAGGCAGCTACTCACTCACTGCTACTCAACCACTCTGGCACCATATTAGGTACTGCATCGTGTCAAGACGAATTCTCTCAGGCCTGACTTGCCATACTACACAGGAATTGGAGCCTGAGCCCAATACTCTTTGATGAGCTCTGTTTAGCTTTTAAACTACCTACCTCTGTCAAGCCAGTTTTGCCCTCCAAAGTGGGGCAAGGACCCTTGAAAGTGGTCTTCCATTTTCTCATTTCTTTTATCCTTTTTCAACGTCCCTTCAAAAATCATGTCATATCCCAATATCCCGGGTACTGTTTTTCTCTCCCTTTCTGGGTGCAATAAACCTTAGCATAGTGGTTTACCCTTAGTGACCAAAATCTACCAGGGCAACAAGGGAGAAAATTACCAAGAAGGAAACCATTGGGTGGCAAATATTTTTAAAATATTGCTCACTTAAACTGAGTGCCTTTGCAGATTTCTCCTTTTCATAATCCCGATGTCCCATTCATTGTATTTCCTACATACCTCTAATGTGTTCATTTTAAACTATTGCCCCAGTACTGGAGGCAAACTGCTTACGTTCAAATTGTGGTTCTGCTTTTCACTAGCTGTGTGAACTGAGTTTCACAAAGAAGTCTTTTACTTCTCTGTGCTTTAGTTTCTTCCCTTATAAAATATGGATGATGAAGTGCTATCTCTGCAGATGAGATAATCATATAAAGGACTGTGGGGCTGGGGATTTAGCTCAGCGGCAAAAGGGCCTGCCTGGCAAGCGCAAGGTCGTGAGTTCGGTTCCCGGTACCGGAGAAAAAACAAAAAAACAAACAAATATAAAGGACTGTGAACAGTGCCTGGAATATATAGTAGGTACTCACTGTTAGATATTAGTGTTCAGACTCTTACGTCTCTCCCCTAAACTAGTACTTTCTAATTCAATTCATTGCTTCCACACTCATCTGTAGGATGTTTTGTGTATACTATTACATAGAATTCAGAGAATCTAGACATTGGATAAGAAAAGTTAAATCTTTAATTCATATTGAATTTGAAATTTGACACTTTTCCACTCTAACTGTAGGTTAAAATCTCAGAACTACTCATAATATCTATGACCATGTTACCAACCGAAATCACAAATATTTAATTCAAATTACATCTGTTTCAGGCATCGTGTTGAAGCACGCTACTTTTAAATTGTTAATTCAACATCCTGCTATGTGTTATGTACTGTATTCATGTTTTGTATTGCATTTTACTATCTCATTAAAATATTTTGATAGATTATAAGTCAATTTTATTTGCTTCTTATGTAAACAGGTGCATTTAAACCATTACTTTGCGATGTAATTTGTAGGCTTCCTGGATTTCAAAAGATATCTTGATACAAAAAAGGTTAAAACACTTTATTTAAAGTGAGTTTTTAAAAAATGGTATCTAACCATATGGCTCCCTCCTTGAAATGTTGCACTGTGTGTTGTGCTGACAGTACCAAGTGTAAACTACTTTGGGAATCATAAAACCTTGCCTTGGGTGTCAGCTTTCCCCGTAGTCCCACCGCTGATCACCCACATCCAAGGCCCTGTTCCTCCAGCTTTTCAGAACTATGTGATGGACCTGGAAGCCATTCCACTTGCTAATTCCCACATTTGTAGAGTGTGTGTTTGTTTTAGAACACTCTTCCTCCTTTCCCATGTAGTCTTTCTCCTTACACGTCCATCCAGCTTTTATTCATTCTCAAAAACTTTTAACATTACCTCCTTCTTGAAGTCTCCACGACATCTAGATGGGCTAAGGGGACCTTCCTTCCTTCTTCCGCAGCACTCTGTGTAAGGGTCCTTGTGGCTGTGGACTGTCAATTGGGCACCACTGGTCCCATTTTGTTAAAGTGCTTCTTTTACTGTTTGCTTTTTTTTTTTTTTATCTCACTGGTCTGTGAGTTCTTTGAGGGAAGACTATGATTTATTTCTGTTCTGTCTTCTCTGTATAGTTCTTGCAGTAGTGTCCAAAACTCTATCAAAGGTAAAATATAATAGCACACAAATAGGAACAGAATTGATGCTTTACTTCAGAGTAAAAGTACTCGAGACCTTTGGAATTAGCTTTGGTCCCGCCTCTTCTGGTCACCGTGGAGGACAGCGTTACTTCTTGGTAAGGCTGAGTGACAGACTGAGCAGGTAAATCAGCTAGTGAGTGACTGGAGAGAAGCTTCCTGGTTTTGAGGGAGAAGGGGTGTACGGTTTTCCCCTCTGGAGTCAGGTGATCCAGGCTTCAATGGAGGTGAGGAACGCTCTACTAAAAAGACTTTGTTATTGTGACCCATGCCTAGAAGGGGGAATTAAAATGCAGAGACAGGAGATTCATTAAAGATTTTGATGGAATAAATGAGTGAATATATGTAGAGTTCAACAGGTTGTTCCCAACTGGCCAGAAGCCCTATTACTCTCAAATATCCTACTGTTTTCACATTCATCTGTACTGATTGTCATTAGATTTCAAAGGGATTCCTGATTTCACCCCAGGCCTCCTGAGCTATTACTAAATTAGATGAAAGTGTCTTCTGAATGCATGAATACGCGTGATTGTTAGGATAAGTCTCTGCTGGGTGTCATTCCACTGTTCCACCCCGCAAAGGTAGTAATGTAAATGATGACAACTATGATGGCCATCCGAAGTCACATTTATGACAAAATGTAGTTAAGATTAAAGATTTTAAAAGAAATTATCAAAACCATAAAAGTACTTAAAAATGTAAGATGCATTTTAGAATAAATAACTCCAACTTTCATCATAAAGGACTACTTTCCTAAACCCACAATTTTTTTTTTAAAAAACCAACAACTTAATAAAAAAATTGAGCAAAAGATAAAACCAAACAATTAATAGAAATACAAATGAACCTTAAATATAAAGATGAATAACTCCACTCATAATAGAAAAAGATAGTTAAAATCATGACCAGATACCGTTTTTCACATGTCATATCAGAAATATGAATAGCAGTGGTATGAGAAATAGGTAATTTCATACATTAATGGAAATGTAAATTGGTACAGCCTTTAAAAATAAAAATTATATTGTCTATAAAACTTAAAAATAAGCATATCCATTCACTCTTCAAAGGAACTTTTCACAGGTAACGCATACAGTGTGGTTCCTTTCGCTTGGTACACAAGAGCATCGTCATGTAAACTAAAGCAGCCTTCTTGTAACCATAGAGATCACCCACAAACCAAACAAACACACGGCAGAAAAAAGTGGAAGGAATGTAGGTCTTCATACATGTTAGCTACTGATCATACTGCACCTGTATCTGTCTTATGTCTGGATTTATATGAAATAATGTACTTCTCTATTGTTTAAGCCAATTTAAATTGGGATTGCTGTTATTTATAGCTGAAAATACTCTAAATAGATAAATACATATATGTACATATGTTATGCATATATCTATACCTACCACTCGTAGTACATATATTTCAATTTGGAAATAAAATTATTAAATCTACTAAAACTATTTCCCTATATATGAAATATGTTATTTCCAATTTTAAAATGGCAAATGACTGTGTTTTTTATATAGCTCTAAATGTTTTCATCTATGTTATATTCAGATAAAACTTAGAAGGAATTTGCCACGTAACACCTCCAACAATCCTGTTAGCGAGCAAAGAAACAATTTGTCAGTCAGGCAGCCCTCAGAACTTCCAGGAGGTTCAGCGAGCTCCTCAAGCAGTCGGGCAGCATTTAGAGACAGAAAGTGGACGTGAGGTACACAAGCAGCTTGACTGGTCATAGCTCCACCTTTGCATTGTTTGGACGTATGAATTTCACTTGATCCAGCTATAGCGCTTCTGGGTGTCTTCCTAGAAGGGTAGAAGTCACCATATTACAGTGATGCATGCACACGCATGTTTTGTTTTGTTTGGTTTGGTTTGGTTTTTCTCTGGTACCGGGAACCGAACTCACGACCTTGCGCTTGCCAGGCAGGCGCTTTTGCCGCTGAGCTAAATCCCCAGCCCCAACACGCGTGTTTATACGAGTAGCACAACTCGTAATAGCTAAATCTTGGAAGTGGCCTGTGTGCCCAGTGACAGAAGAGTGGATAAAGAAAATGTGGTATTTATACACAACAGAGTACCACTCTACCATCAAGGGTACATTTGAGACACTTCTAAGAAAACGGATCCATGTTGGTTCCATAATGCTGAGTAAAATAAGTGAGACACCGAAAGTAAGTATCTCACTGTTTCTCCTGTATGTGAAACCCAAAGTATAAATAATTTAAGGAGCAAAATAAAAGGAAGATGATACAAAGCAGGGAGATAGACTTTGTGGGGATGGGAAGGGGATCTAGGGATGGAGGGAGACGGTCAGGAGAGGAGGGGACGGAGAAGTAAGAAGGACCAAGATGCAGTACATAGGTTGCGAGATGCAATATAGCCAAACTGATACATATACAGGCACATACTAACAATGTTTTTAAATCTAGGAATGCACTTTAGCCTATGAGCACACAGGGATGTAGCTCATTTCCATCAGTCCTTTGTAACTGCTTTAGATTCTGTCTGACTCTGGAGTTACAAGCAATTTGTTTACTGTGAGACACAGATTCACAGTTCAGGACAATTTTACTAACTTTTAAGGCCTATCTACAAGCAGGGGGAACTACTCTCATCTGACTTCTTTGTTTTAATTTATATCCTATATCACCAGCCTGGTTCAGAACGCCAAAGGACCTAGGATTCCTCAGCAGAATCTCTCACCTGGGATGCTGGCAGCCACGTCATCCACTCCATCACTTGAAATGCCTGAGAAGTATGCAGCTTTTCAGGAAGATATTCTTGGAACTTGAAACCAAGTGGTTGCCTCAGTGACCTCCGATTATTTCCAATTAGCAGTTTGGACTTTCTCCCACAGTTGCTTCATTGTGCTTAGTAAACTGGTGGTTTATGCTTGATTTCCACTTCCAGAATTCTATCTAAGCATTATCAGGCTCTGATGGCGTCATGTAGGCAACTTTCTTGTGTTGATAGGTTTTGTTTTCGACTGGTTGAAGGTGATGCCAAAATTCTGTGTTTCTGGGAACAGAGCCAAGAGACGTTTAGCTTCTTAGTCAGAGTTAGTGCCCGTGGGAGCGGATATGGGAAACTCTTGTGGAGGATCTATGGCCAAAACCGCATAATCAAATTTTGTTCTGAATAGGATCCTTCATAAGACATTAGGAAAAAAACCTAACACTCATAGGAAAAGTTTTAACAGAATAAACTTGAATGGTTAAGAAAACAAATTCAAGAGGTGAATTTGTAGGCTAACCTTTTTACATTTCTGGTTTAAACATATCTTTAAGATTAACTAAATCAATTAATTGTTGGCCTGGCTCAGATGTCCACGGATCTCCTTAAAATCAAAATCTGGGACTATGTTTCAGATTTCTGTAAGTTAATTCTATGACTAGTATTTTGCCTATGCTGCATATATAGGGCTAGTCCCAGAAAAATATAAGCTCAGTTGTTACAGAAAGTAAATATATGTGTTTGTGTTTCATAAAAACACAGCCCTTGCTATGAAGCAGAAATACCGTACTGTTAAAAAGTTTTCTTCCTTAGGGTAATACAAAACTGGATTCATTGGAAGCTAAGTATGCCTGGTTCATTGCCAAGGTATACATTTCTGTATCAGGAATACTTAGTGTAATGTTAAACCCGATGTGAATTATTAGACCTTTATAAGCTATACTATGAGGAAGTTGACTGTCATTGTTATATACACAATTTATGCATATAGGCAAATTGGACAGCCCCAAGTGTAAAATCTTACATTTAATTGTATCTTGTATTCTTGTTAGGATATGATACTCACTGAGATGTTTTGATATGAATCTAGCAGTACCATTTTGCCTTGATTGACATCTTATTCAGGGACAACAAAATTGAGTAGAGTTTGTACTGATATGTTTTTCAGTGTGTAAACTGGAATTGAATTGACTATTCAAATGAAATTTTAACACTAAATGTTATATGCTAGGCAAATTATAACTTTGCCTTGGTTTAATTTCTCATAGTATTGGTAGTATTCATGTGTTTATTTTTAGAAGTGATCATTTGATATTCTAAATGGATTTTTATCATGTTACAACTTTAATACATACTTTTAGAGTGAATAACAAAACAGGTGTAATATTTGAATTTAGACTTATATTACTACATTTATAGTAATTGCTAATTATTTACTTAGAAATTATACCATAAGACAGTTTTAACTATCTCCTTCATTAAACTTGATCACTGCTTTATGGAAGTTCCTAAACTTACGGAGATAGAGAGGAGTGATCACACCAAAATACTGATATATAGTGTTACACTTTAGGATTCACAGGTGCTTTGTGGCTATGTTGCTCTTCATTTTGGAAATTGGTCCTCCCAGTGCTCAGATAAATGTGCCAGTATCGTTAAGGCGCTGAGAAACAGACATAGTTTCCCCGTGTTCCTGTGGCTTCAGAACTTGTAACTCTAGGACCATATACCCTTGCCAACTGCAATGCATTAGGAAATTGAACCTATGAAAAAATATAAATAGTTTTCAGGTCAAGATAAAAAGAAATGAAACAGACATAACAAGTCCTTGCTTCTGTATGTGTGAAGGAACTTGACCAGGACCAACTTAACAGGAGTTTCAATCATGAAAACTAGAGTAAGAGACCTAAAGTTCCTAAACCAACTTCTGTGTTAAGCCACTAGACTTTGATAAGAAAGTGAGAATCAGAAATCCACAATCAATGATCATTACATAAAAGTGTTATGTCTTTCAAAAATGTGGAAACAGTTTAATATAATTTACATTATTTCTACACATTAGATGTAAGAAATTATTTCACTTAATTTTAAGTACAATATATTTGATTAACAAAATCTCAATTTACAAAATAGAAGTAAATCAAGGCAGAAATATATTTATTATCAAATTATAAAATAAAATTAATAGTTCTTGTGGAGCTACCATGTTTATTATTTATTTCAGATAACGATGTTAATCATTTTGGTATGCATAGTAATAAGTATTAAAATAATGGAACGTAGAGATTTGAATACAATGACAGTAAACCATTGAAATTTCACATTCACATTATACAGCCATCATGAATCCATCAGTGAATGTTAATAATGTACAAAAAATATAAAATGATTGTAATATAACCATCTAAACTTTAACATGAGGAGTTTTAAGACCACTATTTAACCTGCTAATTTGCTCTGAAATATAAGCAGTTGCTTTTCTGTGATACATGACATATCTTTGTGCCTTAATACTTAATTTGAAATATTCTTAGTGTAAAAATATACCAAAGTAAATAAAAAAGGAGACACTTATTTACAAAACAATATTGTATACACATTATATAAATGCAATTGTTTCAAAGTCTTTTACACAATATTGATAAAATCAGTCATTTTTGTTATTTTACCATAAAACTGCAATGTTACAAAGGCAGGCTATAATTTTGAAGTTTGGATACAGATATACACTAATTGGCTGCCTTTTAAGAATACACAACTTCTCTAATTACATTGTAGAATTGAAATCTGACCCCTGGAAAAGTGATTCTTCTTTCATTAAAGAAAATCCATTCCCCATTTGGAGGTGTATGAAAATGCACCTGAAGAAAGGAAGAAGTTACTATTTTACTCAATATTTTTAGTGATAAACCTGACAACATCAGCCACTCAGTCTATTGTGTTAGCACCATTGGCATGGATTGTTAGTATTCGTCCAATCAAAATAGGAATGGAAACTTGCATATGATATACCATCACTATTTTTGTGGAATTTTGTCTTACCAAGTCTGCTATCATACAATATAAATTCAAGTGTATAAGGATGTTCTGGTGGTGGTATGTAACAATCCTATATTTTATCAATACTATATATATGGTAGATTTTTCTGTAAGTATAAGTGAAACTGTAAAGAAATAGACTTTAAAGCTACTCCTTTAATTCACCAGAACGTGAGGAGAATAGCTTTCATTTCCTTGCCTATGTTGTAATTATAATACATATGAACGTAAGTGTAATTTGATCTCTTTCTAGTTCAACAACTCTGGAAATTATAAAATTTCCTGTTATATGATTCATTTTGATGGTTAAATGCCAACCATTGCATATATTCTCTTTTAGTTCATACACTGTGACCATGCTTAAGTGATATGGCATACTCTAGGCCTATAGCCCATGATACGTAAATTTCACAGTTTCAGAATAGTTGAGGGGAAGACCTTCCATGGTGTAGGAAGTTACGAACCTAATATAAATCTCATGAGCACCCACAGCGGTCTACTACCATGGCTGGAATTTTCCCATATATTATTTGTTCTTTGCCATTAAAATATAACATATTAATGGGAGACATTTTTGTAGGAGTACAGCAAGGGCCTGCTGAACCTCTGGGGTTTGCTTGGTGTACCAAATGAGTATGAGGATATTTTTGTAAAAATACAAATTCACACTCTCCAGAGCAATAATTGGCCTTGTATCTTTTAGGTGCAATAATCCAGTCCCATCCAAAAGCTTCGAAATCCACTGTCAGAGGGTAGCGACAGCACCGTGATTCTGTTGAATGTTCGTCACAGTCAAGACCAAAATCTCTTCTGGATCTTTTTGGTGTATCTGTTACCTTGACCTCTAAAAAGGGATTCTGTGTGGAAAGGAGGAGCAATTAGTAATAGTAATAGAGCCTGAAATACTTTCCCACCTTAAGAAGTAATTACTAGAACAAACTAATCATTTTATCTATACCGCATTTTTTTTTTAACGCAGTATTAAGGAATTTTAATTCACTTAAGCCTGGCTTTTCGCCCTTATAGCTCAAAAGAGTATAATAGCAATATGGAGTTCCCTAAGGTCAGTTCATTCTATGTGTTTTTAACTTTTGTTTTTCCCACTTTGAGTGTCAGACTTCCTAGCACACAACAGATGCCCTGAAAATTTGTATGGGAAGAAACTGAGGGTTAGGAAAGGAGGTAGCGAGGAGCGAGGCAGAGGGGAGCTTTTTCTCTCCTGATTGTTGATTACATGTGCTGGCTAAATATATCTTCTGATTCCTGGAGAGAGAGCTACGCTCACCCATCCTCTCTTCCTTAGGTCTTCACTACGGGCGACTTGGCTACCAAAGCAAAATAGCTACCGTCAACCGGCATAAGGGTTATAATGAGGAAAAGGAAAGTGATGAAAGGAATTTTATGCATATTGGGTTGAAAGAAAACCCTAAGAGAAAGACAGATTCATAAGAAGAGATGATAGTTCCTTTGTTTTCTCACTGAAAAAAATTTCTGTTCAGATATTTAAATAGTAACTTGCTAGCACTGTCACTGCTCCAAACTTTGAATGCGTTTGAAACTTTGCTTTCTTTTAAAGGGAAAAACATCTGAATAATATATCAGATTAGCCACTTCTTTAATAGTAAGTAAAACTTGTCACATTAGCAACTTCGATAGTTACAATATTACCTAAAACATTCTCTTAAATAACTGATAGTAGTTTTTATCTTATATCAAAATGAAAATAAGCCTGGTAGTTGTTGTCAAAAAGAATATCACTTTGAGAGCCAACAATATTCAAAGTAACACATAGAAAGAAAAATAGTTCGTTTAGAAACTGTGCAGTCTTTTAAACAATATGTTTTTGTTCATAACAGATTTGATTTGCTAATTATATAATCTTTATAACCAATATCATTTAAAGATTAAAAAGATAATTTACAGTTTATGTTTATTGTTTCTAAGTATAATCTATTGCAAATTATGCCAAGGAATGGAAGAAAAAATATGGTCATATTAAATAAACAGAAGCCTTTGATATCAGAAATATACCTAAGCCAGCAAAATAACCTTAAGCTTTATATGAGATTTTAAAATGGTTTTTATTAATCTTTATAATATCTAAGGTATTGCCATAGCTTTAGTCTCATTTGTTGGCATTCCCCAAGTAAACTTTTATTCAAGAATGCTAAGACAGTTCAGAAATAAGCTAGGTGATAAAGGTTAATTAGCCTGGAAATTAAAATGTTATTGGTGGTATGTCACAGTCTATCTATTTATCTATCTATTTATCCATTTATCTATCTATCATCTAGCTATCTATCTATCATCTATAAATGATAGCTATATCAGTGTATTTCACTTCCTGCAAACAATGAACATATGGGTAGGGAGGGACCTAAGTATAAAATATCTCTACAAGGGGCTGGCGATTTAGCTCAGCAGCACAGCACCTGCCTGGCAAGCACAAGGTTGTGAGTTCGATTCCCGGTACCGGAAGAAAACCAAAAAAAAAAAAAAAATAAAAAAAATCTCAATGAGTGCAAGCCTATGCATTACTTAGTTAATTGCCATGGATAAAAACATTTTATTTTAATTACAATGTTTAAAGTTTTTTTTTTTTCTGCTTTATACAAAACTAGAAATTTTCAACACATTTGGGAGAAAGAAAAACTGGAGGGAAAAAGTTTTGGTTTTAGCCAGTTATATAAAGTTTGTGTCTTATGCATATAATCATGCATCATATCAATGAAAAACACTTTACAGATCATTCTCAATCTTAAAAAATCCTTTAAAAGTTATGAATCATGGTAGAATTGCTTCTTGAAACTTTATGCAAAGGAAGAGTATCAAGGCAGAGTTTCATAGGATATGAAACTGGACACCTACTTTTATTGGGTACAGGGCTACTGTTGGAGTAAGACACTTGTCTGGCTTGTGAGCACAGGAAATTGGTAGCTGTTTTCCACCATTCTTCATTCATATTATAAGTACAAATGCAACAAGGTTATTAGAATGTTATTTTCAGTTATCACTTACCAGCCCATCTTCTCCCGGTCCCGGGAAGGTCACAGCCAGATCATGACCATTCTCATCTAAAGCTTTGATTTCAATGCCTAAGTTGGATTCAGGTTGTTTGAGCCAATTCTGCAACACTGTCTTCACATCAATGCTCTGCCAAATACCAGTGCCTGGGCTCATGTCGAGTTTCAGAGATCGAATTCCAGTGTACCTGGTACCGTCTTTCATGGGTTTGATGAGTCTCAGGATTTGCACAAATACGGTGGTAGGAGTCTTAACGGGTCTCAGATAGATCCACAGCTGGGCCTTTACTACTTTATTGTACTGTATTTTAGAGCTAAATTTAAAGAAACAGCATTTGGGTTTTCCTTCCACTTGCATTAGGAAATCAGCTATAAATGAATGAGAGAAAGTTATTAAAATTATTTCCCATTAAAAAATGATAATCTCCCTCCATATTAATAGTTGAACATTTTCCCATAGAGGCGATGTATGCAATATAGTTTTAAAATGAAATACTATGTAAAAAGTCATGTCTCAAAAAAATGTCAAATAAAATAATTACTCCAGATTTTCCAAATTTTAGTTACATGTATTTTTAGCTATTTATGAGGAATCTCACTCCCCTTCCAAAAATTATGGACCAAGGACAATTTTATGAGGGAATGAACAGTGGATGAAATTTTAAAACGATGATGATTAGGGAGAACAAGAGACACTGTGAGGAACATCCACTTAGAATTCTTTGGGAATCTGAGTAGTTACACTTACGGAGCAGCTGTACCAATCAGTCTGGACGAAGGAACCCTTCCCCCAGGCCTGAATTACCTGGGGGACGAGACTCACTAAACAACTTACTGAGCCTCTGGAATGAGCAGAGAATATTGTACATCTGTTATGTGTCAAAGGAACAAAACTAAGCAGGTAATTAGCACAAATATTGGCACAAACATTGATGTCAAATTCAAGCGTTCTTAAAAGTTAGACAGTTTTGTCTGTAGGGCCAGTCTGTCACTGTAAGCACAGACAGCTAGCAGTTTCTTTCTTTCTTTCTATTTTTTTCGCCCTCTTGGTTTCCCAAAATTATGTATACATAAAGAAAATCTACTCCAAGACTATTTGATGGCAGTCTTAAATGAAAATTATTGGCTGCATTCTCATCTGACCACTTGATAAGAGACACAGTAATGTGAAAGTGCTTCAAGGCTGGTTTAAAATGTATAAAACAGTGTAGCAAAGCAAGCTCACAGACACATGGCACAAAAGTCTTTCTTGTCATGATTTCTCTGTCAAGGTGCCTGTCTTCATTTTAGCTAAGTGAAAAAATGAATTTTATGAAATATATTCTCTTTCAGAAGCTATGACACCATAGGTAATAGTCCTTCCCCTTATGAAGAATAAATATTTGAGAAGGTTATTAAGCAAGGTCTGCTTGGAAATTCGCAGCCTGAGTACTTCCAACAAGAGTACCATGATCAAGACATAAGTAGGACTCTGCGAGCTATAACCTACCTGACTAAAATGTTTATTTCCTAGGCATTTCCTGATATTCAGCTCCTGGTTATCACTAGGCTTTGTTTACTTCATCATTGCTCTTACTAATACATTCAATATTTAAATTTCTTTTCAGTATAAGAGCTTTTAAACTTAAATGTAATTGGTGAAGAACTTAAAACACAATGAGAGATAGTTTTGAATAAAAGAAATTATTCTAACTGTGCAGCAGTACCCAAATAAGCTTAAAACTCTAGCAAATTTCCTCCTTTATTATTTGTGAAAAAACTTAAAAATACATATTTTAGACAAATACAATACTGGAATTTTATATAAGTTTTTAACACAGTTCTAGATAGTGCCTCTTAGATAGTTCCTTGACAGTACTAGGCAGTGAGAGCATAAACATGCTGTATTTTCCATATGAAATGAGATAATATTAATGCTGTGCAAGCGTTTTAATTTTTAACTTTTTCCTCCATAGGAAAACTTTCTGCAGATTTCAGTCTCAATATATTTCTCATAAAATCTTGAAAAAAGAAACCTTTTCTCTCCCACTTACATACAAGCCGGCAGCTTGTTAAAAGAGCCTGAAAATAGATCTGTTTCTCATAAACACTAGAACAACAGTCAGCAGGACTGTTGATACACACGAACAGGAGTACTTACACTCTGTAGGCATGGTAATGATTGTTTCCGTCGTAGCGTGATAATCATCATCTTCCAAAGAGCCATCGCTGCTGTCATCCCTCTGGACATCATACTGATCAATCAGTTCTCGCAGTGGAGGAGCCTTGGGTAAAAGTTGTCTTATAGTATCTTTGCTGATGTTAGGAGCTGCTTCCAGGCGAAGTTTACTGAGAATTTGGATTTTTATAGCTTCTATTCTGGAATATTTAGTGTTTTGTCTCCAGGCACATGCATTACACAGCCCCTCTTTTTCCACATTTTCTTTTTGCTCACTGTTCTCATTTAGATCCACTGGACCAGCAACAATCAGCATAAACAGGTAAATATAAACATAGATTTGCAGTTTTTGCATGGTTTTGAGATCAATCCGATCTTTTTCCTGGTTCTTATGTCTTCCCTTTGCTTTTCTTTTGCTTTTGAGTAATGCCAAGCAAAGCTTTAATGCATGTACAGTCTGAGAGACAACTTGCCACACCAGTGAATCTTTTATACTGTATTCCAAGTGGCTTTTTATATTCCAACTTAGATGAGACAAGTGTCGTCAGGATCTATGATTGGCTCTTGCTCCACAATGAATCTCGCTGTCAGAGGTTAAAACCCTGTCTGTCACAAGTCACCAAGCAGTATTTTGTTACAGTCCAGGGTGAGCTGATTCATTTGACTACTTCATAGAAGAAATAAATCCACAAATAATGAAAGATATATGTGACATCTGAAAAATTAAAGCCTATGTTAATGATATACACTATATTTAAATCTTATTAATTTTTATAAAATTTATGATTTGAATTAGTTTTAATGCACACTTCACTTAAAATGTGAAATGTCAACTCCTCAAAAATTAGAATTTTATACTCTTTAAACATATATTTGAAGTAAAAGATTTTTGTTTCATTAAATTACTTTTAGTGCTGGGTAATTAATATAAAAATTAGGAAGGCCTGAAATAAAAGAAAAATTAAACTTGTGGTACTAGTGAAAGATTTTCATTTCTAATTTGAGAAATTTGTTTTCCTAAGTAAATTTTTAGTATATATTGAAAATTAATCTTATTATAATATTATACTGTGCATGAACTTATTTTAAATAGCTAATGTTTGTTATTAACATGAAAATTATGCTCAATTTTGATGGAACAGTATTACACTTTTCCTATTCTAAAGATACGGATTCATATCATTCAGATGGGATTTTTCATTGTTTGTTGCCAAGAAATAACTGTCTGCCACTGGAAAAAATCTCTGAAATTTAATTGTACAATAAAGGATTTTTGTGTACTGCAGCATTTATTACAGTTAGCTTTATACTTGCAGCATAAAAGTAAAAGTGTAACAGCTATTCTCTCTAACTTTTATCAAAATATTATGAGCATGTCCGAGGGAAAGCACCATAATACAGGGACGCCCTTCACTTGTTTCCCAATGCTGGGATGGGTTTGCACCCCTTTGCCAGTTTCTCATTTTGACCAGAGGGCAGACACCTGGCAGGGATTTGGGGTAAGGTCTGGGAGCAGAGAATAGAGCTTTTTGTTTTCTAAATTTGAGTGGCCTCCATAGGGATCAAACTCTCACCCTTTGCTTTGGGAGGCACGGGATCAAATCAGATGAACTATTAAAGTGCTAAAAAAAAAAAAGAAAAAAACACAGCCAGGGAGGAACAGAAGATGTTTCCAGTCCACAGGAGATCTCTTCTTCCTACTCCTTTTTGGGAAGCTAAGAGCTCCTAAGAGATTTAATCCATTAATTTTTTTTTTCCCCAAGAAAATGCAGTAGCTGATATCAAATATATATTTTTTAGGTCACTACCATTTTTACACACTGTTCACCAATTTACTGCCTCAGTGCACTAAAATGCAACGCAGTAGCCTGAAAAGTTAATGCATTTTCATCAAATTCTTAAGAGGCATCTACATCTCTTGAGAAAAAAACGGCCTTACATAATGCATTGGATTTGCCCATCATTAAAGATTAAGGGAAACCAGACACAAAACAGATGCCCTGAGGATTTCAGATCCCCTTTTTTGTGTGTGGGACTATATTCGATTGAGCTTATAAAATTTTCTTTGTTTGAAAATTTAATTTTTCAATATGTAAGTCTCTATAATGCTATAATCATTGTCATGTTCTTCTGTACACTTCTTAGTAAACCAAACTTTTTATAAAGCATGCTTCGAACTGTGCAGGGATTGAGAGCATAGCTCTGGCGTCAGACAGACCTGAGTTCAAGTCTCAACTACCACTGCTTACTATGTGGTAATGAGTGAGAGCACTTAATTTGTCTTTGTAGACTACCAAATAGAACAACTGACTTTCGGGAAGTAATCGATAACTTGTGTTTGAGCGCTTGGTCATTGTTTCCTGAAGAGGAGCTTGAAATTATGCTTCAGATCATGCTCCTTGAGCACGAAACTGTTTCAAATTGTAGCTGCCAATTATCCATAGTCAGTCTCTCTAGGACTCTGAGCAGAGTTTTCTGAGGGCATCCCTGCTACGTGTTTTGCCTCTTTGTTCTTACTATCTGAAATAAAGTAAGCGTTTCATTATTCACGGGGTCCATATTTGCAAATTTTCTTACTTGCTAAAATTTACTTACACAATCAATGCTCCTTGTGCTTTTATAGGCATTCGTTGACAGTCATGGAGCCGTGAAACGTTGAGGCTTCTGACCCTCGGGTTCCCAGCTGAGGACAGTGTGCTGCCTTGCTTTTTCCAGTGCCTATTTTTCAGTTTACTTAGTACCATACTTTTTACATTTTTGTGCCTTTTACATTTTGGCTAATTTTTAACCATATATTGAAAAATGGTTAAAATGGTACATTTTATGTTATGTATATTTTACCACAATTTTTAAAAATCTGCAATATGTCTTTGGAAAAAGTTTTCCTAGTGAAAAAACATTTGTGTTCGACCAGGTTTGTGCAGGCGTGAGTTTGGAACTGCTGGTTGCGAATTCAGTGTTAATGAATGAACACTGCACAATGTGTCACAGAAAAGCACAGCGATTGTTGAAGTTACAAAAGGTTATAGTGAAAGACGCACTGGCGTTAATTCCCCTCCAGCTCCTCGCCCTGGCTTCCCCATCATCCTTGGCTCTTTCTGAAGCACTTCTGCAAGTGCTCTTTTGTGAGTGTCTTTAGTTGTTATAACACGGATGCCTTGATATCCCGAGTCAGTTAAAAATGTTTATCTCTCAGGATCATTTTGGCTGTGGGGAAAAGTCAAAATTTGCATAGTGCCAGCTCCTGTGAATATGGTAGATGCCCCCCCACCGTGATGCTTTCACGAGCCTGTCTTTCCTGTGGACGGCCCTTGGCAGCAGCATTTGCCGTATTGACTACACCCTGTGGAGATGTGAAAATCACTTCCAGAACTGCTGCCGAAAGTGGCAAGGATGGATAAATATTTTGGAAGCAGTGTAGGAGTATTTTGAGAGGAATTAAAGGCAATGTCTTTTACTGTAGTAAATTCTTAAAAATTAAGCGTTCTCGGTATATTTTGCTTAGCCCTTATGTGTTCAGTCAGGTATCTCTATGCAGAAACACACAGCTCAAGGTCACATTCATTGGTTCATGAAAAAGATGTGACCAGAGCTCACCTAAGCCTGTATTTTCTCAATGCACAATGGCTCAGTATTTGCTACCTCATTGTTGGAATGACTTTACACTAAGGTAACTACTACGAATGATAAGAACTGATTGTCTCCAAGGCCAGTACTGAATGGGTTAAGAAAGACTCAAATGAATTCAGTTACTCTAATTCCTTCCCAGTGGTAGACTCCAGCTGCTCTCGTAAAGGACGCAGGACGGTGCCACATTAGGGTGATGGAGGAGAGAATTTCTAGCTGATGGGGGAGCTTGGTCTGCTGGCCTGGTGGCTTTGTTTTGGGTTAATGTCTTTCAAAGCAGTTTCTCTCTGGAGTCCGTCAGGTGGCCACGGCAGTATCACAGCACTTGTATTGCTCTTCTCTACACTAGGTAGGCCGTAGCAGGCCGTACGTTTTCTGTAACCACCGGTAAGGTGGCAAGTAAACCTCTCTGATCTGTGCTGCAGATACCCATGGGCTGTCTCAAAACAACTGTAATGGTACAAAACGTATTTTTTTTAAAAAGAGGTTTATTATTTTACTCTTTCCATGTTCTGCAAACTGTTGAGTACACTGATGGGACTGATGTGGCTCAAAAAAGGGAAGAGACTCTAAAAAAGAATGGCTCATGAAAAATTAGACTGCTTTGGGGACACCCCCAGAAAATTGCGTTTTGTCTGGTCATCTTTTCCTTTTCCCTATAACAACCCTTTGTTGTTACTCAATGATGATTATTCTTAAAGCCAGAAAAAAGTTGTAGAATGCTCAACTCATGTAATATCATAAGAAAATAGTCATCCTTCATTGATAAGAATAGATTAGGTTTTCAATGAATTATAAGACAACACTTACAAGAAAACTTTAGAAGTATTATAGAGCTAAGGAGCGAGAGTATAGGAATAGCAAACAGAAAGCCAGGATATAATTCCAGCTTTGCTGCTGATGTATTGTGTAAACCTAAATAAGATAATTAGCTGGGGTGTGTGTGGTGGTGCATGTTTGTAATATCAGCACTAGGGAGGCTGAGGCAGGAGGATCATTGTGAGTTGTGGCCAACCTGGGCAACATAGTGAGTTTAAGTCCAGTCTAAACTACACAATGAAACACTGTCTCAAAAAGAAAAAAAAATAAGATAATTAACAAACTTTATAAATACATGTCTGTACATATGTATAACTAATTATTTTATGAAATATTTGAATCCTTATTATATACATAGAATTATGCTAGATTCTGAATATAAAACTATGAACCAAACAGACAAATCACTATCTTCATGAAACCTGTGTTCTAGTTTCTTTATATAAAATAGTGAATTGTATTCAGTGTGTCCCTTTCAGTTGAAGTTTATCCCTTAAAGCAGTAACCCTTAATTTTTTTGTTCTCAAGACGCTTCTTAAAATTATTTAGATAGCCACATTTGTGTTTGTGTGGGTCCTATCTCTTAACATCTAGCATATTATGATTTAAGGGTGAGAACTTTCAGTTTGCAGACATACGCAAACATTATTTGCTGACATAGTGGCTCTGTTGGCATGTATCATGCAGCCTCTGGAAACTCCATTGTTCTAATAAGAAAGAATGAGAGAAAATGCAGAAATAATCTTAGAATCATTATGAAAGTACTTTTAGCTTTACAGCCTCTCTGGAAAGGCCTTGGGAACCACCCTGGAGTTCTTGGTCTGCACAGCCCCAAAGTCATCTGTACACCATACTAATGCCATATTTGTCCCCTATATCTCAAACTCCCCTCCCCACAATACTGATGGCTTTGTTTTTATGATCGATTATATATGGTAATCTTTATTTTTTTATTTTTTGGTTTTTTTTTTTCCAGTACCGGGAATCGAACTCACAACCTCACCCTTGCCAGGCAGGCGCTGTGCCG